TACGACGCAGCCTTGCTTACTCATAATGTATTATACGCAATATAATACATTTCCACTCTGAATTTGATCTATATCCTAAACAAATGTTTTTCGTCATCACCAGTCAAAAAAGTAGACATTTGCTTTCTGCTTATGATATCGATTGATGTTATGTGCCACTGTTGTGCCTTATTGTAAAATGGGTTGACTGCACTATTAGACACTGAGATACCAAGAGAAATTTCTAGTATCCAAAATGTTTGTTACCTGTAACAGATCTGGGAGGGGCATCGAAGGGATTTTTATGGAACAGGAGGTTCGAGTTGACATGATAATAGATGTCATTTATGTAATGTCCTTTTGAATCATTCTATTCCTTATTGTGTCTGACACACACTTTAGATCATGAGCTGGAAAAAAAAATTACAAATGCTATTTAGCAGTGCTGGTGGAGGTCATCTCAAGTGGTATCTGAATATATGCAAGATAAGATTAATTTAAGCACCAATGATTCTAAACTTGTATTTATTAATTGAAGTTGTTAGTTTTGAAATATTGTACACATGAGATGCTCTATTTGGCTATTATGATAACAACGATAGGGCAAATATCTACTACATTACAATTTATAAGTGCAAGATATATAAATCGTGTGGCATAGATTCTGTTAAGCGCCTTGGAAATCAGCTTTGAGAGCCTCAATAGCAGACTTTGTACCAAAGATCAAACCGACGATACCAAGTAACACAACAAAGAAACAGAGAATGAGTTCGCCCCAGTTTTTGTTACGCCAGCCAGTCAACTTCAGGTAAAAAATCACAGGGAAAATCAAAATGAGAGCACAGTTAGAAAAGGCACCTAATAACGACATGAAATCACCAAAGAAAGGAACAAAGACGGCAATGACAGCAATGACAACAATCATGGTCATACGAAGAGCAAAACGTAATGAATGCTCGACAATGCGAGAATGATTGAAACTAGAGATACCAAGCATCTTTTCCAAATCAAGAGCAAACGAGGTAATCAAAATAGGACATGCCATCAACACATGGATGGTGATAATAATAGCACTTGCAACCTTAGCACCTCCCTCGGGTATATTGTTGTAAATAGGAGATTCAGCCTTGTCACCATAAACATAATAACCAGGAATGGCAGTCAAAAAGTAGAGACATACACATGTAGTCAAACCACCAAATACCACCTTGTTCCAATCTTGAGGGCGGCGCATGCCAGCTTCAACATGAGCATAGACAGGGTTGCCACCTATTGGAAGCAGTGTGAGTCATAATTTTGGAATAGACAGAAATTCGGAGTGCATAAAATTTTGATCAACTTACCAAAACTAAAGACAATGGAGCTGAGGGCAATGGGGAATTGATCCCAAATAACAGGATCATGGTGTACATTGACATGGTTTGGTTTATCCTTGATAGCCATCACCAAGACAATCAATACGACAATCACCGTAGCGAGCATACCAAAAGCACTTAGGAAGCCCACTTCCTTCATTGATTTGAAAAAGATAAAGGGGATGGTAACGATGGCAGAGCAAATGATGACCCAAATTGGGAAGGTTAATTCACCACTGGTGCCTTTGCAGACAACGTGTAAGTTTTGGCCAGCCAACAAAATATACAACACAGGCACACCGATCAAAGTGATTGCAGTGAAAAAGAAAGAGATCCATCCGCCAATCTTTCCGAAAGCACTTTCAGCAACTTCTTGGTAAGATGACAAACGAGTGCGACCATTGTGGTATAAGCAGCGAATCAAGATAATACCAGAATCTACATGACATTGAAATTAAAACATGATGATGATGTGTAAGTGGTCGAGTAAATATAATTACATGTCGAGAAGATCCAGCTTAGACCGAGAATAAAGAGGCCTAAATTAATGGCATGTTAAACTTTACATGTTGAATTGCGGTTTTTGCCATGATGTAATTACCGATCCAACCACCTTGTTTTAACGCATAAGGTAGGCCTAAAGCACCCGTACCAGCAACAACGCACACAATGTTAAAATAAGCAAGGAAAGAAGAGCCTCCCTCGCTATCACGATCTACACCATGACTGAAGCTAATTTTGTCATGTTCCACATCTTCACCTGGAGAGAAACGGCACAGTTAGTATTTCTTTTTGACAGCTGTCAATTCAACTGCATATTTACCAACAATAGTGTCTGTAACTTGGTCTAATGTAGGGTCACCATTGAATGATTTTTCGTTTTTGATGTGGCGTAGTTCCATGGTAGAGAAGATGAATATGGCTTCCTACCTAAAATATGTTGGAAAGAGAAAAAGAACCCAAATGGTGAGGCGGGAATAAGAATCCTGTTTGATATTTGAAGGCTTTTCTCATCCAATAATCATGGCGGAGAAAAAGTTTATATAATTTGTTATGTGGCTCACTGGGAAAACCAACATGGGCCGTGAGAAAGATCTTTGATAGATCTGGATCAACCGATCGAAAGTCTATCTTTGTAGAACCAAACGTGTTGTTGACCTCTTGGAAACATCCAGCTTAGACAGAGATACATAAAACCATTTGAAGAATCAATTCAATCTTAATCATTGTAAATTCAATCAAATGTCAAACTGCATCATCTGCGCTTGGGAGATTTGTCCAATCATTCGCATTGGTTCTTGGAAATTCCATATGAGATTAACATGCTTCCCTGAAGTAAAGCTCGTCGGATACATACTTCACTGGTGTCTTATTCGAGCAGCATTTTTCAACAGTCAATCTCTGGCCGTTTTTTGCTTCCAAATACTTGCACCAAACTCGAGGGTATAGCCTCGAAACATATATGGCAAATGGTCGAAACTTCGCACAACGTGTGTTGCCAATGGTATAAAAGCCAACAACTGGCTTTTTCAGAAGAAGCAGAAAGGCGAAACTCTCGCCGCATTATGGCAAGTTAATCAGATAACTATCTGCTATATATAATTGAAGATAGAAAGACATTGCTCTCTCCACTAAAGAAACCAACGGTACCTTACAGGGTCCAGCGACCCTTCAACAAACCAAAAAATCATGGTCTAAAGTAATTACAGGCGGTTCTCTCATGAAATCGAGCGTTAAGGGTACCTCCCTGAACCACGCAAGTCAAGATGTATTTAACAAAATTGCTAATAGCTATACATATTAGCCTTGGCTTATCATATGTAGCAAATTTAAGCTTTATTATAGTTTTAAATTGTAGGATAACAACTTACAGCAAAACAAGCAGCCATGCAGGCACTTAAAGCAGCATTGCAAGCGGCCAGAGCAGGAGGTGTACAAGCGCAAGCGCTAACAGCACCTACTGTGAATCCTACAGAGCCATAACAAGAGACTACGAGAGCGTTGCACGCAATTTGACAGATTCCGTATGCTAAAGGACCAGCAGAAACGTATGACATAAAACTCAAAAGAGCCAAAGAGTAGATATAGATTTTGAACATTTTGAAAGATTGAAACGAATTGAAGAAAGTGAGATACAGCTTTCTGCTTTCTCGTTTATATACAGAGCTTTGTTGTCATATGATTGACATTGGCATTATGCATCAAAGTCTTAGCTTTACTTTGTGATAGAATTGCTGGCTTATACTCTGTTAAATGTTAAGAACAGCATATATGTGATAATTCGTGATACATTACTACAGGTGTGGATGCATAAGATGAATGCA